GAAAGAAAGAAAGAAAGAAAGAAAGAAAGAAAGAAAGAAAGAAAGAATGCGACAGTGGTGGCACTTTGAGAAAGTAGAGCAAAGCCAGAGTGGGAATTGAAGTCCACACAATTTGACAAGGTTGAGAAACATGGGCTGAATATATCAACCCAGCCATTCTGGTTTAGCATGCTGTTTGATTCCGGCTTAGTCAATGAATAAACCATGGCTAAGATTTTCCTGCTCTTTAATGCAGATGCCCCTCTGCCCCTTCTCCAGCCCCCTTTGGCATCCAATTTTGCAATGCCAACCTCCCCGGGGCAGCGATGCATCCGACCTCACCCTCTTTGCTTCAACCCAAAGTCCACTTCCATTGAGCAAAGGGAAGTACTCTGCACACGCTCAGAGACTCTCAACTTCAGTGTAGAGTTCCGCCCATCTTTATGCTCCGCCCGGGAGGAGGAAGGCATGTGGAAGCAGCCCAGACCGGTGGAGGAGGAGGGAACGATCGCTTGGAAAGCAAGCGAGCAAGTGCAGGGCTTGGTCGGAAGAACCGGGCTGCAGAGGGAGGCTAGGTTCTAGGTCCGGGATGGCCACATAGAGCCAAACCGATCTGAGCCACATGCCTTGGAGAGCTGCAGCTGCACCCACCCTCATCCTGCGCTCAAGCCCGGTTGGCTGGAGAGGCAGACGCCAGGCGAGCGCTGCGCATTCCCTTGTTCTCCTCCAGGGAAGGGGGCCCTAATGCTGGACAACCCACCCCTTCCACTGCGTGCCTTGGGAGGGTTTTGCTTTTGGGTCTTCTGGTGCACCTCCACCGCTTCCACCGGAGAGGGCAGCTTGCAAGCTAAGGTGCCCTCTTTCTGCCACCTCCCACATCTCTCCCCCCCCCCCCCAGGCTTGGCAAGGCTCACCATGCACGGGTTCCACATTCGAGGCGCCGGCTACGGAGCAATGAAACAGTCAATGGGCTGCATGACTGGCAGTCAGTGAGCCTGCGGGGTCAGTGCCTCGAATGCCCCCCTGCCACCTCTTAGTGCCCCCTGCTGGCCCCCTTGCCTGTTACCGCCCCCTAAGGCATCCCACTGCCCCCCCAGGGGCGGTACCACCCACTTTGGGAACCACTAGTTTAAACTATATAAAGTTTTAAAGT